TATGTTATTAAATATTTTTTACAGATCTTATAATTAGCATACAGAAAGTACTTGTAATATCTGGTGGATGGGAGGAGGGGGGGGGGGGGGAGAAGCTATAAAGTTTTTAAGAGCAACTTATGTTCTTTGATGGAGGGATGCAGAGTCTTCAGACATACTAGTCCTGTTTTATTGGCTAAAGAAAGAAAGAACAGTTGCTGTTGTTTCTTGGAATTATATCCAGGTAATGTACTGTAATCAAATGGTTTGAAAACAAGAGAAATACCTTAAGGAGGTGGTGATTTATCTTATCTTTAAAAAGCTGTCATTATTTCTAACTTAAGCAATGACAGACTGGCTTTCCTGGTTGGGATGCTATGAAAAGGGATCAAAAAGATAGTTCTTGGCAGATATGGATCTTCTTAACCCATCTTTAGTTAATGTCCAGATTTAGGTCTGGAACTGCAATAGTTGTCCCAGTTAAGGTTCTATGAAGAGCTGAGCAATAGCATGATCCTGCACATCTGCAGAGACTTCTCAAAGATATTTGGTACAAAACATCAAATCTTTCTGGATCATCTGGGCTTGTAGAAAGTTGGGGACATTGTTTTACAAGAGTTATCCTTTGGGCCAGTTGTATGCCTATTACTTTATTCCTTGCTTTATTCCTATTGGGTGGGTGTGTGGGATTTCACAAAGTTCCCTCTTGTCCTTGTGCTTCTTAGTATCCATACAGCACTGCTTCAAGAGATCATTCTGCAGCATGGAATCATAATTACACCAATCAATATAAAGAACAAACAAAGCTCTCCATCAATCACCAGGAACAGTGGCCTAATAACAATGGGCTACTTCACAGTGGTGCAACCAATGGTCCACCATAGTCTTTCCCCACAAAATGCAAAACAATAACAGTTGATGTTATTTGCACTGGTAAGCCATAAAGTACATCCTAGTATCAGTTTAGCTAAATTCATGTTGAGTCTTCCAACATTTCTGCTCTAGTGACCTTCTACTTGTGTTTCATTGTGCTCAGCCCTTCAGAAAAGCAAATTGGTTGGAAAGAGGAAAGTATGATTAAGTACTAACAGCCTAAGTTGCTTCCTGTTCAAAGCACAAGCAGAGCTGCAGCAAAAGGTTCAGGGATTACAGTAGTAGAAAAACTATCCAGACCCCTTAGCAATCTATTTAGATCCATCAGCTTTGAGGGAATATAAGATGATTCCTAATATCTGGTTATGACAACAAAACGTATAATTGAATCCTAGCAGACTAATGAAGAGGATACTTGAAGTGGGGAAGCAGCAGTGATGAATGTATTTAACCCTTTCCCATTAATTGATTTCTCTATTTAAAACTAGCCCTCAAGCTGCTTTTTCTCATAAGATTCCCAACAGTATGACCTGCTGATCTGGTCACTCAGTAACTTGTAGCTGGGCATGAGATGACAGGAACCAGTTTGCTTCATACTTCTAAACCATCAGTTGATGTTTCAAACTCTGGTAAAATTCACACATCACATTCACTTATAACTTGGTTTGCTAGGTTGTGGCTCAGCATGTTGTGTGAACTCAGCTTGTGGTTTGTTCAATCAATGCCAGACCAACTGCAGTTTATGGAATAAACTACATCTGGTTTGGTTTATATAGCACACTAAACCCCAAAATATGATCACATTATTTATAATTAGATGTATATGTTGCCTTTTATTTTGTACAAATCAAGGTAGTATACATAATGCTTTTGCCTCTTATTTTCCCCATAACAACAATAACCCTGAGGTTGAATGATGAGTGAACCCAACCAAAATAAAATTAACATGATTGTGTGAACTTATTTAAAGCTGTACAGCCACTGTCTTCAAGCTGGTGTCCTCCAGATGTGCTGGGACTACAGCTCACTGCATTCCCAGCAGGCATGGCCCTTTGTTTCTCTTGATTTATAAGAGGAAATGGGGGAGGGAAACTGAATCACTAAAGCAGAAGGAGTTCATTATTCCATTTCTTGCACTTTGCCTTGTCAACACAAAGCGTTTTCAGAGTTAGTGCACTTCCAACTGACTTCAGTGTAACTGGGAAACAACTAAGCTGGTCTTGATGCTTCAGCCAACTTATAGGACACCAAATGATCCTATCATTGAAATGTTCACATTTTCACTTGCGAAGCATCACTTGTTACAGAACATTGTCAGGCACAAATGTTTGGGAATTCTGTGAGTGGCACACCTGATGCCTCTGGGCAAAGCTGCTCTACCAGTACAATCCTAGATTAGTTCATTCAGTTTCAGTGAACTCAGTCACAACTAAGTCTGTAGTCTGTTATGATCAAAAAGTGAAACAAATTATTCTGAAGTAAGGTTATGCAGATCTCGGAAGGATGCTTCACTTTGAGCACTTCCTTCTCTAGAAGCTGCTCCTCTGAGAAGCAACACACCCCTTCTAAGATTGAAGCAAAAGGTGAGCACTGCTTTGCTTTGCTTCTCAGCCCCTCTTCAACACAGTTTCTCTGGCAGCACTCAACAAACCTTGATGAACAAGCATTGTGGGAGGCCACATCCACCCCTTCCAATCCTATAATTCTGTGATTTCTCTGGCATGCTGTCTCCAAGAAGCCTCTCCTGACCTTGGCAAGGGACCGAAAGGAGACAAGAAGCTCAGTGGCAACATGAACAACTTTGTCAGTGCAAATTGTGTTGTCTGTTTGCTTGACATCTCTTCAATGGGAATCCCTTCGTTAACACAAACTGAGACTGCCTTGTACAAACCTATTCTGGAGTCTCCGTCTTTTTCATCGATTCCTACTGAGGTTGGATACGGATGTAATACGCTAATATCCAACTGATGATGCAATTCCGAGTGTTTTCAATAGATTGGAATCTATTGAACAAGAGTATTCACAATGTTCCAGGTTTGGAATAGCCATTCTGATTCTTCGGAGCTTTATCCAAAACCCATAATACAATGGACATTCCATTTTATGTTGTTTTGAATGTTCTATGATTGGCTTGTTCCTTTTCTAAAAAAACCAACACCCAGCTATAGAAACTTAGAAAAGCACATTAGCCAATAAAACACTGGGCAAAAGGTTTATTCCTACTTCCATTAGCTGGAGCTACTCAAGGCATAAGGCAGTGAGGAAGAATAAAAGCACATGTTCAGAGACAGAGAATAAGTTATCTAAAATAAAGACTGTTTCCTGCTAGAGTACAAGTTTATTGCTGCATTAAAAATCTGTTAAGAGGAAGAATTCATGGGTTGGAATTGAATAGATTTATTCCATGGTTTGGGTGCATTACACTTCTGTCTGAATTACTCTCCATGTTTTTACCACATGGAACTTAATTACTTTGTAAGGCTCATAACTGCTCATAAATTTCTCTTAAACCCCACGTAGGTACTTCTATCGACGGAAATAAACCTTTCCTTTTCCTGAATTTTGTAGAATCTAGAATCATGCTCTTAGCCCTTAATGAGTATAATCTACAATATTTGTTACCCATCTGTGTTTACACAGATTTTATGTTGTGCATGATATGGTGTAATTTAGTTATTTAATTAAATAAAATATATGTGTGAAGGAGACCTTCACAGGATTCTAGCCTTCATCCACAGAGAAGATCAAAATGCACATTTCTCTACAGTGTCTATCAATCTTCAAAGCCACGCATTGCAATTCTTTATAATGATGACAATATTCCATTTTTCAAAGTATTTGTAGCCCTTAAGGCCAGATGGAAGGATCGTAGAATCAGTATTGAAAAGTACCTCAGAGGTACCAAATCCTGTCTGGTGCAGGAATTGGTAATATCTTTCAGACAGATGACTATCCAAGCCTCTGAAAACCTCCAGAGAAAGAAAACATATCACTTCTTGAGGCAACCTATTCCAGTTGTTGACAGCTCTCATTATATCCTTAGTATATGACTACAGACCTTGCTGCCTTTCCTAATTTGTAGCCTCACCTCTCTTACCCAAACAGGAAATATCCTGTTCTTTTAACTCTACTTCCTTTTTACAATTTTGCACTCAGTTTGATGCTAAGAGCTTATTCCACTGCTGGAATGCTAGATTTTATATTCCTTGTCTATTTATTAATCCCAGGCTGTTTATCATGTTTCTCCTTCAAATGTTTTAACCCTTTAATCTACCCAGAGAACTTTGATTGATGGGCAGATTAAAATGGTCATCATCATCATCAAAGAATTTAATCAGCCTGGACATTGTTTCCTATTGGAGAGGCACATGCATTCTTCTCCATGGCTCAGATCCATTCTCCCTTGTATGAATCAGAAGAAAACTGAACCAGAGTATGGGCCGACATATAAATAATGTGAAACAAATATAATTTGCTGTCCCAGTTGTTTCTATCCTCACTTTTCAGGCAAGAAAGGCTGCTGCACTGCCTCTCCCCACCCCACCCCCAGCTTCTCCATGTCCCCAGCTGGCAGTAAACCACCCAGTAACATCCCTGCTGTGACTGCCAATGACAGATGATTATATCACAGGTTTAGCCATCTGTCAGAACCCACCCTTCCAAGGGGAAGGAGGGGAGCCCATCAGATCACTAGGAATCGGTCTGAGTAGCCCAAACATCAGGTGACAGGGTGGGACATTGCAAGAGCACTCTCTCTCTCTCTCTTTGCTGCTGCACCATGCAATCCCCCCCCCCCAAACTAAAGCTGTTGTTTGGGCTACTTCTGAATGCAGGTTTAGTGCTTTTCTAGAAGAGTGCTAAAACCATGTACAAAAGCAGCCTGAACAACAGCAGGCAGATAGGGTTGGGGGGACTGTGCCTGCTCTCTCTCTCTCTCTCCACTGTCTAGCCCTCTCACCAGCACTATTGGTCAACTACTATTCACAATTGGACCCCCACTGCCCAAAGCAGAATGACCCTGGGTGCAGGGGGGAGGGGATGTGCCTGCACCAACCTAAAGGGGCCAGTAGGTGCCAGGCTGATCCACAGGGGTCACCTGGCACCATCCGTGAAAAGGCTGAAAGTGCATCAGACTGTACCCACAGTAAAACTGCTGTGGCTTGTTGGCTGCTTAAGGGGGAGACCTGGAAGAGCTAAGAGTGGCTTGAGCTGCCTGGGTGGAGGTAAAGGCCATGTCTTGGGGATATGGCAGATAAAAGTGATTTCTGGGCTCTGTTCTGTGGTGGTTATATGCAGGACCAAAGAGCACCCACGAGTTTGCATGGCCCAAAGTATTTATGCTTTTATCTTGTATTTTATTCTCTGTTAGTCGTATGTTTCAGATGGGCAGTCATATAAATCAATGGAGGAGCAAACTCTACTTTAAACCCTGAACTTTAATGGGAATTCTCTTCTTCCTCCTTCTGGTCCGTTCCACTATGTAGCCCTGGCTGCAAGAGGCAAAGCAGAATCTCTGCGAAAATTCGTCGTCGCTCGCACGGATCTCGGTCCCCGCACGGCTGGCGAACCTAAACCCGC